GGGTTAACCCTCTTGAATTTTTGTTGTGTTTTTCAGTATATGAAACCCAGAATTGATGGACCTATGGAGACAGCAGGTAGAATAAGGTTTCCTGGGGGGTACAGTAGAGGGGATGGGCCTCTAAAGGGGAGTTGATGTTCAGGAGTTCAAGAATGTTTTGAAACTGATTGTGGTAACAATTGTAGGATACTGCCTGATGTGATTGAATTATGCAATGATACAATACCTTTATTAGCTCCCAATAAAATGATTTTGAAAGAAAAAAAAAAAAGCCAAGTAGAAGGAGCCTGGGGAATCTGCCCACTAGATAACAAGCACAGGAAGGTTTCCTCAGCAAAAACCAGAGAGGTCCCACCAAAGAGGGAATCCTGAGCTCCATAGAAGCCATGAAAACAACTGACAAGTTAAGTAAGCCAAACTTTCTTAAAGTCAGATATTAGTAATGCCTTCATTGTGTCCTGACTCCAGTTCATCAATTTACTGGAGGCAGTGAGCCGCATAAGTACACTCCCTCTCCCCATACATAAACTGATCGTCCAGTTTCAGCTCGCTCAGCCAAACCTCTCACTTTGTTGTCCTCTGCAAGTCATGCATGAATAACAGCCCACGTGCGCAGCTTGGTACACACATCTTCACTACCCTAGCAACGTATTTTACCATTCAATTACTTTTTTCTTTACTTCCTCCTCCTCCAGAGTCTCGCCACCAATGCTCATCCCCCACCCACATAAAACACATATTAACCCTGCCAAAGGAGTATGAATGCCACCCAAACTACACATTTATTTTTATACTTTTGTGTTTATACTTTTTTATGCTTTTATTTTAATTTGACATGTAATCCTTTTTTAATCTCATGCTCTTTTTCTACGTGGTCCATCTCCATGCAAATATGTAAACATCCCAAGCAGAAACAGGTAAGCCACACCACTCAAATGAGGTTTTTTTTATTTTAAGCCAAGCTTTTTCTCCCTAGCACCCAAAAATAATAAATCCACCCACCCTCATGCTGCCATAGCCCCAGAGCTCCATATCCTCACTCAAATTCTCTGCACATATAAATTGTTTGCTCTTTTTTTATTGGCCTTATTCCCCCTCTTTTTCCTTCCATCTCTCATTTCTACTTTAAGTCTACTTATTCTAGATAAATAAATAAATATAGTCATATATATCCTTTTTCTAGTTTATTTGCTTACACTTTTCTCCTGCTTCACCCATTACCTCCTGCTATCCTCCCTTTCCTTCTGCTAGTGACTTGTACTTCCATGTTACCTCTTAAGAATAATTAGCCCACTGAGAAGAAATTTCCCCATTATTTTTACAAATTTCCTGGCATAGATAAGTCATGTTTCATCATTTGTTGAAACATTTCAATTGGTGTGCCATCAATGCCTAGAGCCTTGTTTCGGGTTAATGCTTTCAGTGCAGCTTGAATTTCTTCCTTCAGTATCATTGGTTCTTGCTCATCTGCTACTTCTTGAACTGGCTGAATGTTAACAAGTTCCTTATGACAGAGTGACTCTGTATATTCTTTCCATCTCCTTATGGAAAACTTACGCAGCTTCCAGATTCATCAGACAGATGGTTCCTGAACAGTGGCATTCCTTTGGATCATCGTAAGATAGTCCTAGACTAAATCCCAGCAACTGGGAAACAACGACTGAAAACGCCTCCAAAGTTATCTTGCTGGTGTACTACATTAACAAAGAAAATCCCAAGAAAGTCGGTTCAAAGGACAGTAAAAAAAAATACTCCAACTTTAACATTTTTATCATTTTTGTCAAAATTTTAAAACAGGGAGATGGGATTCCTTGGGAAGGTAAGACAATATTATTATTTGTAGCTGAATATAAGTATAATGATCTATAGATTTTCCATGTTTAAAATTTTGATTTTCTAAAATAATTACTAGGTAGCTATTACAATTTATTTTAGAAGACTGCTTTTAATGAAGAATATTGACATTCAATGTTAACCTATTAGGACCACTTCTATTTACCCAAATTCTTGTAACAGTTCTGATTTGCTCTAAGATAACTCAGTTCACATAGTGGTCACAAAATCAAGATATCTGGTTCTCCTTCCTTGTAAGACCTTCATTAATACAATGAGTGGTGTCAAGAAAATGATAAACCTGACTTGAATGGTTTAAACTTGGTCAGTTGATCCCTTCTTTGATGCATGTTGGGCCTGATCTTGTTGTGAACAGTCTCTCTCTCTCTCTCTCTCTCTCTCTCTCTCTCTCTCT